TGATAGCAATTACACTGAAGCTTGGGACTTATTGACCGCGAGGTACAAGGTCATGCGCGTTATGGTGGACAGCCACATCAAAGCACTCATGGCAATTCAGAGTGCAACCAAGGATACTGCTAAGGGAATAAAGCAAGTGCTAAATTCTATACTTCAACACGTTGGTGCTCTACGTGCACTCGAMCGACCAGTCGAATTCTGGGATGACTGGCTTGTTCACCTAACCGTTTCAAAATTAGCACACGAAACCCGCCAGCAATGGGAGTTGTCGCTCGTCGTGGACGATTTGCCATCTTTCTCTGTTCTTCGAGAATTTCTTGAAAACCGCGCACGCTCACTGGAGATGGTACCATTACTCACCACTACCGCAAAAATAACAACAACAACAAAGAATRTTTTCCACACGACATTTACAGAGCCAGAAGCAAATATCGCTACATCAACCGCTACTAAGGGGCCGCATTGTTCTTATTGCAATGGTGATCATAAAATCTACGTTTGCTCACAGTTCAGCCAACTCRACTCCAAGGGTAAACTAACTGCTATTAAGAAGTTAGTTATGTGTATAAATTGTCTCAGCAAAGGGCATATCCTCGYTAACTGTCATAGCACATCGTCGTGTCGCAAATGTCAACGACGTCATCATACCTTACTTCACGAAAACTTTATCAATCAACCGGGMAGGCTCAATTCTCTCTCCAATGAACAACGTTTAAATGTAACCTCACACTACGCTCACGCTGATCGMGTCATTCTACTAGCAACCGCTGAAATTATRKTACAAGATTATACCGGTCGTTGGCAACCCGCTCGCGCACTTCTTGACAACGGTTCGCATGCCTCATTCGTCACCGAGGCGTGTGTCCAACGCCTTCGYCTTCCCAGAAYGCTGTCATCCGTTCACGTCACTGGGATTGGGTCACTGCAAGGTGGCCGTGCAAAGGGAGAAGTTACATTCTCCATATCAACGCGAACGCTTGATACTAAATTTCAAGTAAGTACGCTCATCTTACCGAAAATTACTAACGATCTCCCAACCTCCGCTTTACCGAAAATTTCTTGGCCGCATCTTACGGATTTGCCACTAGCCGACCGCTATTATTCCCAGCCCGGACCAATAGACGTTTTAATTGGAWTGGATGAAATGGACAAATTTCTATTACACGGACTCCGCAAGGGTGAACGGGGTACACCAATGGCACAAAATACTGTATTCGGATGGGTTCTGTTTGGCAATGCTGCCAATTTACAAAACCCACCGGTGAAGATTTCGACTTTACATTCCGACCTTCATTTAACTCAACTCATCCACAAGTTTTGGGAACTCGAAGAACTACCCGCCCGCAAATTCTTTTCACCTGAAGAATCTATGTGTGAGAAATTATACGATGATACGACCCAACGTGCTTCGGATGGTCGCTACATCGTACGTTTRCCTTTGAAGAAAAATGTGTTGTTAGGTGAATCACGAGAAGCAGCTATGCGATCATTACTCCGCATGGAAAGAAGATTTGCAAGTGACGAACAACTTCGCAAAGAGTATACTATGTTTATGGATAAACTCACCTCTATGGGACACATGGAACTAGCTGAGACGACAACAGATAAACTTTACTGTATGCCACATCATGCGGTGGTAAAGACCAAAGTCAAACAACGAAACTTCGAGTCGTTTTCAACGCATCTATGAAGTCAACCTCTRGGAATTCTTTAAACGATGCCCTCATGTTAGGCCCACAGCTACAACAAGATCTATTTTCTATTTTGGTTYGCTTTCGCACTCACCGTTTCGGAATTATAGCCGATATCGAAAAGATGTACCGCCAAGTTTATGTCGCTAAAGAGGACACAGATTATCAACGCATAGTTTGGCGTTCCAATCCAGCAGATCCGGTCCGTGATTATCGTCTYTTAAGGGTCACGTATGGAGTCGCCTCAGCAGCACATCTTGCTGTTAAGTCTCTACATCGCGCAGCACTTAACGCGTCAAACGCAAGCAAGGAAGTCATTGAAGTTATAAGGTCAGACTTTTATATGGATGACTTACTATCTGGTGCTGATACWWTTGATGAGCTCGCTTTACTTCAAAAAAACGTCTCCCACGCGCTCTCTGAAATCTTAGAGATATGATACCACACGTATCTAAACAAGTTTCGAATCTCTTAGCCGATGGAGACCAAATCCGCACTCTTGGTACCATATGGCACACAAACCACGATTGGCTTTCTATARCAGTGAGCTTTAACGGCCTGCCTTCTAAACTTACAAAAAGAACGTTTCTCTCCGATTCAAGTAAGGTATTCGATCCACTGG